TGTCTTTTGGTTCTGGTGACTCTAATATCTTTCGCAATTCTTTTGAATCTTTGCGCAGCCAGTGCATGACCTTATCATCAATTTCTATGGAATTGCGTGCGAGGTATGGGATCACGCGGAATGCTGCAATCTTTGAACCAATTAGCGCTCCATCTAGTTCTGCCAGGATGTAGTTTCCTGCGCTTGAGTGATCCACTACAACTAAAGGACCTAGATACCTCGGTTTCATCTTTGTATTCAGTGCGCTCTCAATCTGTGTATTGCGCATTAGAACTAAGTCCCCTCTTTTGAAGTTATAGGATTTAATTTTATTTGCATGCATCGTTGCATACTTCAATGTATCTTGTTTCTTTTTCTCATCCATATTATTGCGCATTTCTGCTACTTTATCTGCATGTTTCTCTAGTGCTATCGCATGCAATCCATGGAGCTCTCAATCCTTTATAATTCTCCCTGGGTACTCAACTAGCCATGTCGCTTCTAGCACATCGAGTGGTAATATTGGATGTGCACCAGTAACTGCAAAGAAGGGAGAGCATCCCATCCGTTTTCTAACAGTGATTCTGTCAGCCCACATCACTAGCATGAAGTAATAATGCCACTTTTTCTCATTTCCTCCACATGCTTTGAATAGGCTCTGCCGCACATCCCAGTGTGGTCGTTCTATCCTTCCATTGGCCTGTGAGTTGTATGGAGATATTCTTATCCCCTTTATACCATATTTCTGTTCCAAATATGCTACTGCAGCTTTGAATTGCTTGCCGTTATCTGTTATTATCAAGGAAATACAGCCCCACCGGCATATGATATCTTCAAATAACCATTCTGCGATTGCTTGTGCAGTTTCACTCGCTAAGGTTCGTCCTTCCATCCAGCTAGTTAGCGTGCAACGCTCATGCACAATATACTTGTGATGGTTGGATGCCTCTGGCATGTGCATTGTATCTGCATGTAATACCTGGAAGATTGATGGTGTAAAGGTCACCGTTGGGGGCGCCTTGATGATGGTCTTCTGGCGCTCCTGGCATATGTTGCAAGTGCTAACAAACCATGAGATATCGCGCTCCATCTCTGGCCACCAAAATCTCTCTTTAATCAACATTTTCGTCGCATATATACCTCGGTGTCCAAGCTGATCATGTGCTGCTTTCATTACATACATTCTCTTCTCTGGGTAGATGACTAGCTTATATTCCAACTCTATATCTCGTCTATATAGCTTTCCTTTATCCACCATGAAATTCTTCGCATATCTTATGAAGTTCCGGTATTGGTTGTCGTTAAACCCAGGTATCCGCATGGTAGGGTTCTCATGCCACTGAATTACCTGTGGCAATTGCTTATCTAGCATCTTTGCATACCCGCTCCTTCGTGATTCATCATAACTCGCTATGTCATTGTACTCGGCTGCCTCAGGGAGCAGTAGTCCCGCATTATACAGTATGGCATGTGTTTCACCACGCTCTAAGGCTTCCTGTATTACTTTGTCTTCATGGAAGTCATGTACCGCTCTGGCAACTGTTACAAAGCCATGCCGAGTGTCAATTCTCTCTTTAAATTCCGCAATGTCTTCTACCTCATCTTCGGTCTCATTGATGAATTCCCATGGTTCCTCCTCTGGTGGACTATATTCATCTTCTGGGTTTGAGTATTCTTCATCTCCTGGCTGGAAACTGCGTCTGGATAATCCATCTGGTGCATGTCTCTCACCTGGGATATGTACCAATGTGAAGTGGAACATCAGGATGGACTCTATCCATCTGTTTATCGCAGCATTAGGAACCTCATCAGGGTTTCTAAGCATTCCTGCAATGTATTTTGCATCTGTCTCTACCACCAATTTTCTCACTCCAAAGAGCCAATGTCGGCAAGCATGCAGGGCTCTGAATAGTCCATAGAGCTCCCATTTTGGTTGTGAAAAGCGCGCTTCCCGCTCATTTAAAACAATGGAACCAAAGCGTGCATACCTCCTTCGCTTTGGGTTATCTGGGTCGACTTGACAGATATGGAATCCGACTGCACGGTATGATGTGTCTACTCCCAATATCACATCTGTGTCCAATTCATAATCAATTGGCATCAAAGACGGGCTAGAGCGCAATGCATCCTTCAATACCTGCATAGATTCTCTCTGCTCATCTCCAAATTCGAATGGTACTTTTAAGCGAGTTAACCTTGTCAAGGCATCTGCTTTCTTGGCATAATCCTTAATGAACATCCTGTGTACTCCCACTGTTCCCAGGAAAGAGTGCACATCTCCTAAGTCCTCACATGGTCCCCATCGCATTATCACTCCTACTCTGTCTGTTT